GGGGGGGCGGGGGGTAGTGTGGTAATTTTTAAGTCACGCGAAATAAGATAAGAAAAGCGTCTGACTTGAATGGACTGATTTTCATATTCTACTTTTAAACAGTTTCTTCTCCTAATGTCATCGTCCTCCAATTCTATTCGTAAACTGAACAAAATGTGACATTTATCGGCATGAAACACCACTTCTACTTACCACCAGAAAGTGTCGATTTCACCGTCTCCTTTTGGGCTTGCAAAGCGTAATATTCACAGATCACCTCAGGTGGTAAGGCTTGTAACACGCTCAGCCCTTGACCGGGTCGTACACGAGGGGTCATGGCAAGCATGAGTACGCGGGATGTGTTCTCTACTGGGGGACACTGACGCACTGAGGCGAACAAAGGCTCCGTTTTGGTTGCAATCGGTTCTTGCAACAGATCTGGCTGATCATTGACCGTTTCTTCCTGGTCTTCCTCAATGCCCATACTGACCAGCATGGGTAACGAGATACGCCGACGTGAACTGTTCCGTCGCCCCAGTGGAAACAACCCGAGCATGCCATCTTCGAAACGCTTGTAACGAGACACCTTCTCTATGGTGATGTACGGTTTCGACGGAGCTGTTGGACGGAAATAGTCTGGATCGGAACAGCACAGAATTGATTGGATTAAACTTTCAGCTTTGGCTCTCCACGCGGCTGGACCGGAGAGATGTTTGATCGGGTCCAGGACTAGTTGAAACTTGTCCATACTGCGAAATCCTATGGAACAATTTCAAAATGTGTATGTGTGCTGGTTAGCTTGAAAACACTACCGCCTAGTTTTCTCAGGTGAATGGCTACAAACAAATCAAATAGGGTTTTTATAAATCCCTTTTACTTAACAATCATCTTCATGTTTACTAGTTAAATCAGTGGCAGTACTCAGGTAACGTTCAGTCTAATTTCAAACAAAATCCACCGCCGACGAACTGGATATCCATTTCATTCATTTCGTTTCTCCACCCCGAAGTAGAAACCTATTATGAACAATAACATAGGCCGAAAAACATTCCTACCAAGGAAGTGTTGGGCATACACCGCGGGTTTGCCTCGATTCCCCAAAATTCTTGATGGATAGTCCGCAACAATTTGATATATGTTATCCATCCGTGTCTTCGATGATGCCTGTTGATCACCGCGATCGACAGCAAATGCAAATGGAGAAAATATCTTAAAAAAGGGCTTGCTTCCTACGTAAGTCTGGAATAAAGTTTGACAGGTAAAGAACAAAGCAAGCCTAAAACAAATCTGACCGGTACGTACATGTTCGTGAGGAAAGAGAGTGTGTGAGATTGAAAAGTTTGTCGAAGGCAATTATCTCGTCGTTTCTTTACTTTGATGAACTGCCAGCAGATATTTCACAAAAGTGTAAAAGTCTGTTCATCATTTTTACTCAACATTTGCTATATATCTCTGTATCTCTGGTGCTGGAGTACCGATGATTTGATTTATGATAGACGAGAATTGTGGGAACTTTCCAAAGACAAAGAACGACCACATGGACCTGAGTGAACTTGTACATCAGTAAAACCGAAACATGAACGTACCGGCTGGACAAGTGTTGGCCGATGAGATCAGGTAGAGACAGAATTCTACAAACGGTGCATACATTGTTTGACGTTGAATCCGGTGAAGCAGTCGTTCGGGAGCAACGCAGTAATCAATCTCTACTCGCGTGTCTGCACTTTCCATGGAGATCTGTGTTTGTCGATGAAATCCGGGCGGACAAACCGTGTCATTCCACGAGAGCGGATAACCCAAAACGCTTGGGGCGGCTGGTTTGAACATATAGTGAGAATGGGGTATGGATGATGCGCAGTCGAGAAATGTAAAACTTTTCGGATACTGTCGACATGATTGCTTTGTTCAGATATGAAAAGCATCTTGCAAGATTCAGTCAGCAAGAAAGACGGAACGCTGAAAAAGTTACTCTCACTGACCTCGACTCCCCCGGTGAAATGTTCATCTCCTATTGGGGAAGTTTTAAACCTTGAAGATAAGGTGTCTATATTCTCCTCATACATGTACTTCTTCACGTGCACGTGTTCGGCAAGTTATGTAAGATGAACTATGAGACGAATTCGCAAAGGAAAAGAGAGCATAAATCGGTCTGATTAAGCACGGGAGGCAGGGAAACAATAAGTAGCGCGACTATGGCCCCCCTCGTTGATACTGGGCACCAGATAGACAACGATGCATTTAAAGTCATCTATATAGTGTCCCAAAACCAGTCGGAATGGGTTCGGCAGCGTAACTTGGTGACAACAGTTCAACAGCAGCCCGATCAGAATCCTGAACCAACCACTACTGTGCAGATAGAAGAAAATCGTTACCGGGATCCAGCTACATTGGCCTCGCCGTAACCCAAGGGACGAACCGAGACATGACGCGACACGGCATGACATCGCGCAAAAATAGTCACCGGAAATTTCCATAAGTTAACTCGGTCGCCCTGTCTTCCCCACGTACTCCCATAGAACTTGACACAAAATGTTGTTCCCTCCCGTATATCTGGATGAACGAATCACATTTATTCTTACCTTATACATAAACACATACTTAGCCGGTAACGACTAAAGATGAAGTTGCGAAACTAAGCTTGCTCGCTATTTTGTTTACCTTTTATTAGCAATATTATTACTATTATCATGGAAATGCTGCACGAATCAGGCTCTCATTATCAAGGATTTGGGACAGTTAATACTTAACTGAAGTGGGGTTATTTTTTGGGGAGTTTCGCTGAAGAAAATTAACATGTTCTTCCTTCGTACCGCGTCCACACTGCCTCAGTTACTGACTAAAGATAAACTTACATCACATATGACGACCATTGCTTGAGGAGTATGAAGTATGAAAAAAACATTAAAACTAAGAGGACTTATATAGGTATGTTCTGCACATACATCTCCGTTCAGTGTCGCAGAAATGTTAACATACCCACCGGTTGCTGACGCATCCGGAAACAGTCTTTTTCGACGAAAATAACGTTCTGATTATGATGATGATGATGCAGCGACGACTGTGAAGTTAGTTCCTTTTTATGTAGTACGACACAATTTCAATTCAATTTCGTGTTGTGCGCACACACACACAAGCATAAACACAGGTAAAAAGGAGCTCCAATTCCTGAATGAGACAAAGAGAGAGGGAGAGTAAGCTGGATGACTGCACTTAGATTATCAATCAATATGGCGGCTCGATGACATCTTTATCTTTATCTCTATCTTTCAAGCTCACTACAACGGATAGCATATGGCATAAAACATTCAGGGAAGTTTCCCAGTCATAATTTATTGTTCATTTTTCACGGAATTACAATCTTAAAGATCTTAATGACTACTAGGTGCAACTCGGTGATCGGTATCTGTTGTTTGCAATCACATTATCCCCATTTTAGTCGAATAGTTCGAATTCTTCGGCATACGCTTTTCTGCATGTTTGATTCGAAAGAATGGAATGACTTTGAGTAAACCCAGTTTCTACGCATCACGGTGATGATCAGGTGGTAAGTTTATCAAAATAGTGACCTAGAAGCCCTGAGTTCGAATCCCTTGGCTGTCGAAAATATTTCCTATTTTTTTTTATCTCACTAGGGATCCAAAGTAGGGCCACATCTCTCTTACCGAACTTTGACTGTAGATTTATGTATACAATAAAACAAAGAAGTAAAAAATCAATATTATTAATATTATTTATTTAAAAAATTGTGCTTTTTACGTTTGGTTTTCACAGTATCTCAAGTGCTGCATGAAACAAAATCATCATTTGGGTAGCAACACGTTAGTTGAGATGAAAGCTCTATAATGACACTTTTATAGTGCAGGTTTTATAAAAACAGCAAACAGAAATGATACTCAGACAAGAGTATTGCACTTCCCATGAAATTCAACGCTAATCAGGCGTTTTCTGGAGCAGTTGTTATGCTTAAAAAAACTCAAGTGCCCTTTTCTTGGCTTATCCTAGAAACTGTTTATTGTCGATAGAAAACCTTCACCTTTTCTGGTTGGTCTCTGGTTCATCCATTCGGATTGCATCCGAGTTTGAATTCCTTCCTCTCTCCTCCCGAAATGCTCCCTGATGGGATGAAATTTGAGCCGGAAAGAGGCCGCAACCTGACTTTAGTTCTCCGGAGTTGAAACATGCTTCTGCACACTGCGATTTGCGACTTCATGAAGCACAGTGAGGTCTCACGGAAGGTGCTACGAACCGTCACTAAAAATGCATTATTGATGTTTCGGCTGAAATTTGGCTTTATGTGAACTGACAATCCTCCGAGCCTCATCTTCCCACATCATCCTCAGTTTATCCCGTCAAGCATACACTCGTGAAATTTGTTTCTTCCTTCCTATCCCACGACTTGTCAATCTCTTCAATTTGAAATATTTTTCATCCGTATAGCCGGCACATTTATGTCACTTTGTTCACCCAATAGAAGTTTTAGTTCACAAGATACGAATCTGCATGTGAGAGATTTTTAGCCTATTCTGCTCTATTAATTTCCTGTGTCTAGTCAACAGTACTTCTACCTAGGATCGCTTGCACTGGAAACATAATAATCCAAGCAGAGCTTTTGTTCATGAGGGAAGACGCATGAGACGAAAGACTTATTGTTTGTCAAAATGTACCACAGTAGATTGACTAATCTGTCTAGAGTGGTGAGGCGTTTGGCATGCNTATATCTTCTGTCTCCTCATTTCCGCCACGACCATTCCATCACACCGTACATTGATTTGCTCGGTAAACTTTCATTGTCTAAGGACCTTTTCCGGAATGTCGATTAAAGATCAGTTATAAAGAAATTAATAAAACGTTGACTAAACACGCGAGAAATATTACAAAAATAAATTTGTTTTCATTTCGAAGTTGGGTGTGAGATAGCTCAGGTAGCGAGAGTGTGTGTACAGCGTTGTCAAAGCCAACCAATCATACACAT